GGTGCCTGTGCCCACTACAATTTTTTTTCCACATTTTAACCCTAGTTAAATTATTTAAAAACATGTTTTTGAATTTTGATAAATAGTTAGTGCCTTATAAATATTCATTTTTTCTTAATCTAATTATTTGGAATAAAGCTATGAGTTTAGGCCATAGTGATATTGTTGACAACACTCTTTAACATTTGTTTTTAATGCACATTTTTTCATAATTTTTTTTTTTTTTTTGATTCTTCGAATTCATTTGCCTGCGGGCAACCATGCCCCCTTCAAATTTTTCTTCTATAATTTAACTCTTCTTCAATTATTTAAAAACAAAAAGTTTTTGTTTTGAATACGCTTTATTCGTGTGCGTGTTTTCCATAAAATATAAAGGTTTTATTTTTGATTAGTCATAATAAAGTGACTTTATTCGCTTTAAAGCAGTTTTGATTTACCAGTGTGCGGTCACCCTTAAAGCTTCTGGTGGACAATGCCCGCCCTAAATGCTGTCAAATCATGATTCATTTTCAATGCCGAGTAACTATCATAGAGTAATATTACTCTATGGCTTATACACCGACACTCAAGTCTCAAGTCCCATTTAATTTAATTGATGCAGCTCCGTACATGAAGAAAGCAGGCACAACTATTAAAGCTCTAAGATGATTCATGTTTCTTGTATAGCACACGGATTACCAAATTTGACTTTTATACATTCCATCTATGGGTTTTTACCATCAACAATAACTAAATTAGAATCTCAAGGCGTATCATTAACTGATTCAGTAACAACAGTGTAATTCACAAAAAATAAATTATATGGAGTTGCTGGTGACGTTGGAATGAAAATTAATAATAAATTTAACCAAGTTTTGGAAAAAAACAATGGGTTTGCTGTAATATTAAAAATGTTAAAATTCTAAACGGAGAAAGTTCATCGATTGATGGCTTACCAGAAGATGTTGGAAATGGAAATGATTTAACATTTTATAAATACGCACCAATAATATGTACAGACGTCAAAGTTTTTTCGTTACAAAACCATACTGGCTGACAATCGGCGTTCATTCGAAGTGGAGAACATTAAAAAACATTAATTGTGCAATGCAATAATTTATCTGGCGAGAAAAAAGTAATTTCAAAAATATCTTTATATTAATATATATTTTATATTTATTTTATAGATAATATCAAGATTGAAGATAACCTTATTATATTACTTTCTACAAACAATTAATTTGGTAAATCAATTTTCTAAAATATAAATTTTTTTGTGCATATTTTTCCAATTTTATCTCCTATAACTTCTCTGCCTTAGTAATGACTAGTGACCAAATACTATTTTTACAAAATTAAACCTATACTAATTGTACTTTGTCATGGAATAGACCCATAGAATCAAGATTTTCAAGAAGAAAAATTCGATACGGAATAGTTACGTACCACCTCGTATCGAAGTCCGAGTCCGATACGGGTCGGTACGTATCGCTTGTATACTGCACGTGTAACATCTTGAACGCTCAAAGTTGACCCGATACGTACCGGTACACTCCAAATTCTTTCTTGAAAATTACTCTATATGCATAAGACCCAAGAGTCTTATTCTATGTATAGACCATAATATAGACACATACATTTATTTTTTTATTTAAGTTTCTATGGTATAGACACAGAATAGATTAAATCTATTAAATTTTAATTTAATCTATTCTGTGGTATAGACAATGGTGCAGTCAGGTTTCAAAACGTAGTTTCCGCAGAGGGGGAAATCTTGCAACCAAAACGATGGTAGTGGTTCATGTTTTAATCGTGGTCTATTTAGTATCTATTAATATGATTGATAACCGAAATCAAATCATTATCAGATATATGATACCCACTGAAAACGTGGTATAGACTATAGACATTGAAACTCAAGGAATCTAATATTGTAAAACTTTTTCTTAACTTCGTTGCCCATTAAAAATACAAACCTTATGTCCTTATATGATTTATTTATCTAATTGTTTTTTTTTTGCTACCACTGGCCACCATTTATAACCTATACAAAAATCCCATTGAAAAATGACTTTTCAGTTTTTCCTGAATTTTCCAATTTTCCGAGGAATTTTTCTAATATTTCTTTCCGTTCAAACCTCATATGGAGTATTATACAATATCAAAACAAAAAATAGCCAAACCAATCCAGCCGTTCTCGATTGATGTGGTCATCAAAGAACAGCTTTTATTTCTATTATATAGGAAATTACTAAGAAAAGTACAAAACAACTTGAAACAAAATACATATGTATTTAATTAATTAAAAAAGCATTAGGAGAATATTTAAAAAAAAAGCGTAGCATACATGCTATACAAATAAAAAAATGAGCACTTTAGTGCTATATTGATATTGTCACAACTGCACTGAAAAATATTAATTCAGTATAGTAGGTTATCCATGTAACATCTTAACGTTAGACACAATACATAAATTATTGACATTTAAAAAAAACATATTTTACCCGGTTAGTGGTTGTGGTTTCCTTAGCAGTCATTACAATTTACAAAACAATATTTTTTTCATCGTTTGACAATGTCATAATACATATATGTCATTCATACATGGCACATGCACCTATCTTGGAACATGGATTAACAGTAACGGGGATAACTCAAAAGAAAACAAATGTCGAAGTTGTTCGGGAAATATGCGGAAAGAGGAGCAGAGGAAGATCTAAAACTAGCTGGCTGCAAAATCTAAGAGAGTGGTTCCAACTTACCAGGAACAACAGGAACTATTTGATGCGGTCAAAAACAAATACCATACGTATTACGTAACGATTTCCAACCTGCCATAGAAGTGGAAGATTGTTTTCTAGTATGTTATTATTCTATTTTATAATTTGGCAATTTGTATCAATGATGTTATTAAAATTAGCTACAATAATAAAACGTAGTCTGCGGACTACAGGCGAATTTGAAAAAATTATTTCATAATATTTTTTAAAAAAAACCATTTTTCTGCAATTTTTTTGACAATTTTAGTATGAATTTTTAAATTTAATACATTATTCAATTGGTTAATGTATAATTATGTCGTATTTATTCTATTATTTATACAATTAATAGTTAATAATATGTAGTTACGTATAATAATATGGACATATCATATTTTACGTGTTTTGCAGATGAATAATGATAATAACAATACTACTTAAAAATAATAATAAACAAATTTTAATAAATGACTTCTTTACATCGACCACGGCCGTAGATAATAAAAGACTTTATAGTTTATAGTTGGTATTTATGTACATGCGCCCAGGGCCGGCGTTACACAATTTTGTCGGGGGGATGTGAGATCAAGTATTGCCGACTCAAATTTAATTTATGCCGACTCAAAATTTCTAAAAAAAAATGCGTTAAGTATAAAAATTCCTGGTTTTTCTGTGTTAAGAGGCCGTCTCAGTAAAAGTAAAAAAAATACAGAAGTAGTTAAAACAAAAACAAAATTTAGAACTAAAACATTTTAAACCATTTTATGCATAGTTAAAATATTAGTTAATTATATTTCATACAGATGTAAAGATACAAGGCTGTCGGAACTATTTTAATATCTAAAAAATAAGTAGTGTACGAATATAAATCAATCAGTGTTTGTCAATAACTTAAAAAATTAAGTAAATAATACAATTTATTTTTTAATTTAGCAGACGGCAGATGACAGTACATCAAATTATTTAACAAAAAAATATTACCAGATTACCTGAAGTATAAAATATGAATATTGTATTTCTCATTTATTTATTATGTGTTATAAACAAATTTAATAATTAATATTTTGAATAAAAAACGTTTATTACACATTTGGTTAGCAAATGTAGGTACTTGCCCGTATGATTAATTTTTTTTAAAAAAGGCCTCTATCTAGTATTCTAGCCACTTACATTATTAGAATTTTTACTACGCGATACGAATGGGTTCAACGGCGACCATTGGTGTTGAATTTTAACCCTTTTTCCGGCATGCATAGTACGTTCGTATTGAAGCCTGTAGTCATTGTTGAAAATGCTGCCACATTACATGCATTCGAATTTAATTCGTTTTCGTTTAGAAGAATACATTTTTAAAAAAAATAAAAAATTTCAGCCCGCTTAGGTACAAAAATTACAATTAGGTTTACACATTACTCTTGGTTTTAATCAAATCAATATATCGTCAAATAGTCGAACCTTCGAATAGATAACAATATTTAATAAAATAGTATGTAATTCTATAAATAGTTTTTTATTTTCCTGCACGGCCTCCAATCAAAAACAAAAATATATTATAGTATTATAATACGGGTCCTTAGTTCCTTACTCCTTAGCCGACAATATCAGTCGGCAGTATTTAGATTTCTAAATCGGTAAATTCTCAACTGCCGACTGCCGGGACCCGTTCCTATATTAATTTTTTTTTTTTTCAAGAAGTAAAATTTCCAACCGACAACGGATCCCTGAAATTGCCGACTGATAATTACAAAAAAAATCAACGGGGGGGGG